TATAACATGTTTTTATTTGGGGAGCACTCATTACTTTATAAAAATTATTTATGTACCTTTGATTTTCATTTTACAGAAGGTAGGCTCTCACTCATACTTGTATTCTTACAACATTCAATATAGTGCCTTGCACTTAATGTGTGCTCAGTAAGAATTTGAGTATTGACTATTGGGTGATATAGTTGACAGAGCATTTGAGAAGAAAAAGGGTTAATGATTAGAGCAAAAATGGGGAGAAGAGCTTAAGAAAATAAGGACAAAGAAGATTGAACTTTGACAGGTATTGAATCAAGGGGAAATTTCAATGCATATGTGTTAATAATTTTCTATTTGTGGAATACTGCTGTGACTATCAGATTTGATAAAATCCCAAATAAGAGATTTTTTTTAAAAAACCTTTACTAAGGCTATAAAACACTACAAATTAAAACATTATTTTTTGTTCTTATTGGACCAACTTATAATAGAAATAAGTTATATAACTCTTTGTTTTATCCTGACTAGGCGTTTACAGTGCCTAATTAAAAATATTACACTTAGAAGAACAAAGACAAGCAAAATTAAAGGAAAACCTGTTTTGGAGTTACCAGAACGTAAAGTATTTATTCAGCACATTACACTTTCAGATGAAGAGAGAAAGATTTATCAATCCGTGAAAAATGAAGGCAGAGCTACTATTGGAAGGTATGGAGAAAGAAAGCCACGTTAGAAAATAATTTATTTTCTTTTTTTCTTTGTTTCCTATTAACTGAATAACACTTTTTAGATGTGTTAGCAATAAAGTCCAAAGTATATTGAAAGATAATTTGCTTCTGTGCTTTACCATATTTTTTTTACAAATTAATAGTTGAAGTGAATGAAATATTAGTGTAATTCACCAGGTAAGTAATTCCTTAAGTTGGGAAAAAATTAAGTTTACATATAATAGCAAGTTCTTAATTGTTAGTTAGAAGACCTTGCTTGTTCCTGTTTCCAACACTGCGTGGAAATCTGGGAATAGGAGCTGATAAAGTAGATTTTTAAAGATTAGAGATTGGTAGAAGGTGAGACATTCTAGTCCAAGCAAGAGCAGGTTTGATGTGAGTGCCCCCAGCAACCAGAATGAATAGGAGACAAGCAAAGGCAGAGTAGGTTTGTGAGACTCTTCAAAACATAAGAACTTCAGACAAAAATCCTTAACCTCAAGAAGTTTATATTTTAATGGGAAGAAACAGACAATTAAAAAACGTAGGTTAAGTTTTATGGAAAAAACAAAGGGCGTAGGGGGTGTGCTGAAGCTGCTTTAATAGGGTATTGAGGGAAGACCTCACTGGGAAGGTGATAGGTGAGCAAGATCTAAAGGAGATTGGGATTGAGGTGTGTTTCAGGCAGAGGAAATAGCAAGTATAAAAGCCCCCAGTTGGGAGCATGCCTGGTGAGTTTGAAGACGAACAAAGGCAAGTGTGGCTGGATAATATGAGCAAGAAGGGAAATAGTCATGGTGTCAGAGAGGTCTTGAAATGGGGTAGATGATGATTGTGTGAGGCATTATGGCATATTTCAGGGATTTTGGCTTTTACTTTTTATGGGCTAGTAAACCTTCAAGGGTTTTGAACCAGGAGAGTGACATAATCTAATTTACATTTTGAAAGGATCACTCTGGCTACTATGTTCAGATTTAGATTGTTGGAATAAAGCCAAAGTAAGAGGTGATGGTGGTTTTTACCATAGTAGTAGTGATGAAGGAGGTGAGAAATGGTTGAATTCTGTTACATTTTGAAGGTAGAGCCAACAGAACTTGCCAGTTGATACGGTATGGGATGTGAGAGAGAGGAGTCAAAGATAATGTCAAGGTTTTTCACCTGTGTAACTGGGAGTATCGAATTGCCATTTACAGAGATAAGGTTTATGGGAGGAGCAGAATTTTTTCATGTAAGATTAGAAGCTCAGTTTTGGACACACTGATGATCATGAGATGCCTATGAAATTTCCAAATGGAGATGTCAAATCGTCAGTTGGATAGGAGAGTTCATGGTACTATTCTTGGTTTGATATGTAAGTTTGAAATCACCTATGTGTAGATGGTAAGTAAAGCCATAAGACTGAAAGACGTCACCAAAGGAGTGAGTAAAGTGAAAGAAAAGGTCTAACAAAGAAGACAAGAGTGGCTGGTGAAGTAGAAGAAAGCTCTACTCTAATGTTTGGCACATGATAGGCACTCAAAAGAGATCTCTTAAACTGAAATGCTGAGTATCAGTAAGATGTGACCATGTCAGGGAATAATTAGTGTTAGTAAAGGTTACTCTATTTGAAAAGTTTGAAAAAAAATAATTAAAACTGTTTTCTCAGAAATGAAACATGTTTTTTTAAAGTATTCTTTTTAATAGATTATGTATTTACTAACATTTATTAAGCACTTACTAGGTGTTATGCATTGACCTAAGTGCTTTGAATATATTAATTCATAACAATCTTACTAAGTCAGTATAATAATTATCTACATCTTATGAGGCACAGAACAGTTAGGTGACTTGTATGTATCACACATTTAGTGAATGACAGAGCTGGAATTTAAACTCTGGCAGTTGGGTTCTAAAGCTTGTAAGTTTAACCTTTATATTATATTGCCTACTCCTTGCATTCTTAAATATTCAGAAGTGTTTGTTGCCATGATACTGCTATTACTAATACTAGCAGCAGATTCATATGTAGCTCTTGACATAGTCCAGGCACTATTCTAAATGTATTAACTTTTTTAATACAACAGTCCTATGAGGTAAGTACTTTTACCATGCCACTGTCGCAACTGAGGAAGTGCAAGACATAAGTTAAGTACCCTGTCCAAGGTTACGTAGTTAAATTGGCAGAGCCAGGTTTTGAATTGATGACAGTCTAGCTGTAAAAATCTGTGCTTTTAACCTTTCAGCTATATTCTATTGCCTTAAAATGCTTAAATATTAGATTGCCTGGTTATATAATTTTTGGATCACCCATTCTTTCCTCCACAGTCTGTGCTGTCATTGCATCCCTGTATTTTGTATTGAATATTTCTTTGGAAAAGCCTGATTTTTTTTTTTCCTTCTAAAGTCCAACAATTTGACCAGGACCTCTCTGTTGACTTTTCTTGGAACAGGTGGTGGTACTATTTAAATCTTTGGATTCTAGGCTTTTTTTTTTCCCCCTTCCATTTCCTGAAAAGCTTTCTTTAAATACTGTTTTCTGAATAGCATTTAGGTGGCTATAGGAACACTGTTCTTTCAGGGTGACTCCACAGGGACTGGGTCCTTGCCTTTGTGTCTGATTTTTTTTTTTCCTTCTAAAGTCCAATAATTTGACCAGGACCTCTCTGTTGACTTTTCTTGGAACAGGTGGTGGTACTATTTAAATCTTTGGATTCTAGGCTTTTTTTTCCCCCCCTTCCATTTCCTGAAAAGCTTTCTTTAAATACTGTTTTCTGTTCCATTATTTTATTTCTTTCTGTGTATGTTAGATGTCTTTTGTCTGTTTTCCATAGGTATCATTTTATTTCTAATTCTTTATATTCTTCTGTTTAATTTTTATTTTCTCAGTCTAGTTTCCCACATCCTTTTCTATGCTTTTATCAGTGGCTAGTCTTTTTTATGCTGGTTGTAGTGTGGCTTTCATTTCTCTGATGTTTCACTTTTCTCTCTTACACTCTTGAGCTGTACCAGCTCATCTTTCATCTCTTTATGTTGTCTTGCTGTATCTTTTCAAAGCTCTTTGTCTTTGCTTTAAGCTATTATTTTTTTTGAGGAGGAATTGTTTTATTGAGTGGTATTAAATCATGGCAGTATCCTTGGTCATAATTTTTATTTGCTCTGTGGCAATATTTTTATGGCAGGTTTTCTTTCACTGCCATTTTTTTTCCTACTTTGCTCTATGCTGGTTATTACTTATATTTGAATAACTTGAGTTCTTTCTGGACTAGCTATTAATATTTGCTGGTCTAGATTCACATGAAGAGAAGGGTCATACCCTATCACAGACTACCAGGAAAATCCCAATTTACTTATGATTCAGGATTACATATGAGTTCTTTTAGGTTTTATTATAATCGTATAACAGAGATCAAAAGGTGTAAGGGTGTTTACCATGTGGAGTGCTGTGCCCATGGTCTTTTTTTCTGAAAATAGAGTGCATCTGTGTGTTTCCTTATTCAGTTTACCTTCAGTCCTTTTTGGTTTAAACTTGGGAAGTTCAAGTCACCAGACATGTACCTTGTTTTGGCTTTTGCTCATGTGAGACATAGAGATACTGATTTTCCCTTCAGGGCATGCCATCTACTTTGAAGAATTGTGCTCTGGCAGATCTATTTGAGAATCTGCAGTCCTGTCTTAACATCTTCCCATTTGACTTTTACTGCGATTGGCAGCTATTTCTCATGTATTGTGCTTTATTCTGCTTTACAAATCTCTCTTGGTTTCATTAAGGATGGAGTTTGCTTTTGTGTTTATCATTCTTATTTTGGAGAGATTCCCGGGGAACAGAACAATGCCCTTTTACTCTGCTATTTTAGAATAGGAAATTATTATTGTTTAGAGGACTTCACAATATTTTACATTTTTGTTTCTAGATATTTTAACGAAGGGACTGTCCTTGCACACTATGCAGATGTCCTGGGTCTTTTGCTTAGATTGCGGCAGATTTGTTGTCATACTCGTCTCCTTACAAATGCAGTGCCTTCTAGTGGTCCCTTAGGTAAGTAAATAACTATAATGTTTGTACCCTCACAAAACCCTGGAATAATAA